TGTATGTGGAAAATGTATATATTTAGTTTATCCTCTAAATATTTATAGAGGTGCTCTTGTTGTACAAAATAACCGGAAAAAGCCTATAATAACTAGATAGGAAAGTCATGTGTTGGACACATTCTTTTTATAAAAATTGTTCAAATAAAAGTTGTTTGTAATATAATTCTCTATAATTTTTATTTCATACATAATTTCTCTAAAATGGACCGTATTCGAGATATTTGAGAAAATGTGTAAATTTCGAATTTTGAAGAAAACTCAAAAACGGATTAAGAAAAAAACATTAAATTTTAAACTTAAGGTTTATTTCGGCGTAAAATGATTAGATTTTGGACAAAGTCGGAACATCTGGGGGTACTTTATGGGAGGCCGTTTTTATATTTTATGGAATATATCTGTTATTTATGTTTGGAGGAGAAAATTCTTCAAATAAAAGTTACTGCTAATATTATTATCTATAATTTTTGTTTTATGTCAAAATTTCCTGAAATGGTCCGTATTCGAGAAATTTGACAAAATGTGCAAAATTCTGATTTTTAAGAAAATTGTTAAACTAAAAGTTGTTTGCGATATTGATCTCTATAATTTTTGTTTTTACATGATTTTGCCAAGTTGTAATAATTTTACGCAACTACGCGTCGATTGCTTTAAAAATATTTTTATTTTAAAAATATATATCTTTTTACTAAGAAGGTCAAAAAATTCAGCGTTTCTTTAGAACATTTTATAACTTCTTGATTTACATTACATTAGTTTTTAAAAAATATGGTAAGAACAGTTTTCGAGATATCTGGAAATAAATGCATTACTTGTGTACATGAGAGGCTTCAAGAGTGTTAATGATGCACATTTTGATTGTTAATATCTCGTTTCACAGATGGTCAAAAAATTTAATTTCTTTTATTTACATAAAATACACTTTCATTAACCTTATATTTCAATTTTATTGAATTCTTAAGAAAAGCCGTTTTACGAGTGAACTACCTTAAATGTATGTGGAAAATGTATATATTTAGTTTATTCTCTAAATATTTATAGAGGAGGTATAATAGGTTGTACAAAATAACCGCCTATAATAACTAGATAGGAAAGTCATGTGTTGGACACATCAGATTTTTATTTATTGGCAATTAAATAGGCAAGCACATAAGTAACTTTGATCTAATTATGACAGATCGCGGAAAACGTCTACTTTCAAGTGAGATTTCAATTAACAAAAGCCGAGGCTTTGGATAACGATTGTTAAAAAACATGTTTTTGCACTATTTATAAACTACGGTTAGTCATATCATATTTCTAAGCGTCTTGACTATTCTAATTCTACTTATTCCTGGAATATAACTAACTCTTCCTATTTGTTTATGTATCACTCAGTAAATTAAACAGGTACGTACGTAAAATTCACTTCAGTAGATTAAAGGCCTTCTGGGTTCTATCTAGATATGATCCGACACTTGCGATATAAGGGGAAACTTGTGTTCACTCAGCTTCCGATTCGGATCATTATTAAATTATCTCTCTTCTTCCTCGGTTTTTCGAATAAATATATATATATTTTCTTTTAATTTATGTTTAGACAGGGGTGAACTTATAGTGAAGCGAAATTGGTTAATCTGGGGTCATTATTTTTGAAATTGCCATATTTCTCTTCATCAGTGGCAGCTTGTCTGTAAGGGCTGTAGGGCTACAACCTCCCAGTATAAGGGGAAACCAATTTTTAAAAAATATAAAATAAAAATTTTATTATGTTATCTTCCATTATTATTTTTAATAATGTATAACTTTCATAGGCTCCTTTGGTTTCCGTTGTTTCAATCATAATCTGGCAGTCCTTGGTATTCAATATATTTTCTGTTACTCTTGACTTATTCACTGACGTTGCTGACAGGCTGCAAACAAGGAGGGGCTAAAACTTGTGTAGCCACCAATTCAGATGTTCGGGTGGCAGATCGAGTGACGACGGCCGCACTCAGAAGCTGCAGATAAAGAATTTTTATACGCAACAGGGCTACTAAAATTTTCGCATTCGCTCCATTCTAGACACCACTTAGAAAATACGGCATACGTTGGTGTATGTTTGGTTGCATATTAATTATACTAGAAGATAGTTATTTATGAATTATATCGCTACAGCAAAACTTTTAAAATGTGTAAATTCTAGAATATTCTTTTATGATTTTATCAGCAGTTTCTGTTTTAAAAAACAGCATTCTTTGAATGCAATATGAAACTCTAAATTCCTCCTTTTTATATTCTAGTAGAAATTTCTATTTATATTATAATATATGGTGTATCTAATCTTTATATATAAAATTCCAGTGTACGTGTGTTCGTAATTATTTTCCTTTTAAATGGCTTGACCGATTTTTACGATTTTTTTTACACTAATGGAATCACCTGGATGGTTCTTAGCTATAGTTGAACCCAATAGATGGCGTTGTTGTCGACATCCAGGCCAGTGGCAGGACCAGGACAATACCGCCCTCCCCATATTGAGACGACAGACGACAGACGACAGACGACAGACGACAGACGACAGACGACAGACGACAGACGACAGACGACAGACGACAGACGACAGACGACAGACGACAGACGACAGACGACAGACGACAGACGACAGACGACAGACGACAGACGACAGACGACAGACGACAGACGACAGACGACAGACGACAGACGACAGACGACAGACGACAGACGACAGACGACAGACGACAGACGACAGACGACAGACGACAGACGACAGACGACAGACGACAGACGACAGACGACAGACGACAGACGACAGACGACAGACGACAGACGACAGACGACAGACGACAGACGACAGACGACAGACGACAGACGACAGACGACAGACGACAGACGACAGACGACAGACGACAGACGACAGACGACAGACGACAGACGACAGACGACAGACGACAGACGACAGACGACAGACGACAGACGACAGACGACAGACGACAGACGACAGACGACAGACGACAGACGACAGACGACAGACGACAGACGACAGACGACAGACGACAGACGACAGACGACAGACGACAGACGACTTACAGTGTTGCCAAGTCTACAAAAAGTTAACTATCCAATTATTTATTATCAAAAGTGTCGCAATTCATTTTTAATAATTTTTATTGCTCTAACAATATTTTATAACATAATAACTAATGATCTTTATATAAATAAAACTTACCTTGTTTATTCGGTCATGTTTTTATTTTCTATCATTTAAGCACAAGTACTACGTATGTTTCGGAATTTTTTTCCATTTTCTGGTTCATTCAAGATTTAATAAAACATGGAGGACGATTACAAACAGTTTAAAATTTTTAAAATAACAGAAACCCCATCTTTCTGTTTCACAGCGTGTGAAGGTATATTCGAAATAATAATTTGGTTTAACACGATAAAGTAGGGAAACAAAAAGATTAATTACCAGTGGCGTTACAATTAAGGATTAAAATGCTTACAATTACTTAATAATATTAAAGACAAACGTTTATTTTAATATTTCTGTCGGATCTGACAAGCCCGGTAGTTAAACGAGGAGAGGAATTTTTCAGTTTTTTCACCTTATGCGATATATTATCCATACTCATAGATTAGCCAGAATTTTTTTTTTTTACTTAACTTCAGTAGGTATACCATATTATATTAGATGACTACGCCTAGGGCTTTAGCCCCCCAGATCTGATAACATAACTCTGCCCATGCTCCACACAACATACTTTTAATGGATATGTAGGAAAGGTTATTTTATATGTAGATATTAGTTAGGATTAGCCCACACTGTAATGTCAAATGTAAATTCGACGCTGTTAAATTTGTCTTTGATTATAGTTCTCGAGACCAGAGCTTCATGCACTGTTTAGAAAATACTGTACAGTAAATAGGTAAAAAAATTCTTTTAAAAATAAAATTCTTAAAAAAAAATATAGGGACGGATCAACCGGATCTGTATGGTACTGGGCACTGTCCGGCGCTAGGATAACTTCTCGTCTGAGACTGCTGGGTTTCGAATCCCAGACCAGACCATGTGGATTTTTAATTAAATTGCATGGTTCGGTTTAGGATTTGATGTGTGGCGTATTAATAGAAATTCAATTTCGGTTGATATGACATGCAGATTAAAAAAATTCGCCATACATTACCGTCTCTATGATGGTGGGTGAGGTTTTCCGGGTTTTCCTCACCTGTAAGTCAAATGGCACCATCAATCATCTTTAAGTCGCCCCGGAGCGCCACGGCAAATAATAATAATAGCCGTCCCTTTCCCCGGACAAGCTCAGCTTTTGGGGTTAAAATTCACTCGTAAGGGGGTGAATTAGGGAGAGTATTATTATTATATTATGATTATTATACATTTTTCCTATTTCTTCACCTAAGATGAGTTAAAATCATAATTATCAGTGGTATTATTTAAATCAAACAAAGTGAATTTAGCCAAACAGGTATATTGTGTCCGTAAAATCGACTACAACCCTGTATTTTTACTGATAGACGAATTTTGTTGAAATGTTTCTTGAGCACTTCGATAGTAATTTTTAGTAGCACTAAGCAATACTACCAAATGTTTTTTCCTAATTATTTTATTATTATATTTTTTATTACCCCAATCCTGTCTCGTCACAGTATTGATAAAATAAGAAGAAAATATTTGTGTTTATTGCACATTAACACTTAGGTATAGGTCACATATTTAATTTTAAACTCGATTATTTTGAATTGAATATAATATGCATCTAAAAAATAATAAAAGAAAGTGGATCACATATCAATCAGATTAAAATAAAACACTAATTTTACATTATCGAATTTATTACAGTTGAATCATAACAAAATTTGATGTTGAAGGAGGTTCTTCCCGGGGGATCCTCCCAAATTCCCGGATGCAAGCAATACCGTTCCTCTGATAACATCCACGCTCCGCCTACCATATAAAATTAGTTCAACCGCAAAAGTGACAAGCTTAGTATTTCTAAGCCCCAGGCTATAATAATACAGTGGTAACTTTAAAAATTTGTGTTCGGTGTCAAAATTGTGCCGAAATTTCGGGATAGTGATTTTCTTTTTCAAATGTCTTATAATAGTTCTCCACCTGATCATCATCAGGATAATATGTTTCAGTATGGTTATCCTAATCACAACTATCATTACATGTCAGGTAAATAAGTTAGATCAGAAATTTGCAATTTACTATACCTACCTATAAGTAAATAAGTAGACGAAACGAACTGCAGTGCACCTATTTCGCCTAATCTTACTTAAATAGAAATCGAATCCGTTGTATAGGTCCAAAGGTAGAAATTTTAAAAACATAATTTAGAAATGTAAGGAACCACGTATTGTAGAGGTTAAAATAAGTCATAAGGACCCAATTTATATACAGGGTGTTAGTATATTCGACCAACAACGATCTACCATAAAGAGCTCTCGTTAATTAATGGATTTTGGTTGCCGAGATACAGGGTGTTAAAAGTTTTAAATCAAAACTTAAAATTAGCAATAAATCAAAATATCTTTAAATATTTTTTCAAATTTGTTCTAATAAGATGTTTTCAAACACACGAACTATTCAAAATTTGACACGTGCTTACTACAATATAACAATTTTTATTTGTAAAACATACATTGTTGCCGACTGACCACAGTCTAATCCGGAGATGAGTCACTCTCAAATAAAAATTGTTATAATATAGTAAGCACACAGAAACTGTTAGCGAACTTTTACTTACCGAAAATAAAAAGTTGTATACTATATAGGACAAGTAGAATGTTTACTTATGGTGGGTACAACGAGATTTCTGAAATTATTCACTTGTGGTTAGTAAACAGTTTAAGAGGAGTATTTACTTGGCTGTAGAGCGGAGCATGCAAGGGTTTCGTAGTACCCCACTTTTAAAGTTTATTTTTGACTTATTTTGAAAGAAAAAAATATATACGTGTAGGTAAAGGATAAATCTATGCTCCTCTGAAAACACTTTTTTAAAATTTGAAACTGTTTTTTCTAAAAAAAAAATACAAAACTCGACTTTTTTTACCCATTTTCTCAATTTTTTTAGAAAAAACTAAATTGAATTTTGAAAAAGTGGTTCCAGAGGAGCATAGATTTAACCTTTACCTACACATACATATTTTTTTATTTTAAAAATAGTCAAAAATAAACTTTAAAAGTGGGGTACTACGAAACCCTTACATTGCAAGATTTTTCGTCTGGAAAGTGGCGCCTCTGTTAGATTTTTAAGAAATTAATATTTGTGAATGAAAACAATTTATAATATATTTTACTGATGTTTTACGAGGGATGAATAAATTTTACGTATTTGTACACCTTATTTTTTACGTAATTTATTTCTGCATTTTTCATAGTACACCAATTTTACGGATTATTTTTTAATTTTACTAAAAGAAGTTTTATGTAAGTACAGGTAAAGGCTTAACCCATACCTCTCTGGATTTACTTTAAAAATATGAATCAGTCTCTTTTGAAAAAATCTAAGAAAAGAAACGAAAATAAATAGAAATATTAAAAAATGCTAGAAGAGAACAATATATTTAATTTTTGCCTACAGGAGCATTTATTTTTATTACAATAAAAATCGAAATACGTTAAAAGCTTTTTCGTCTAGAAGGTGATACCAACAAAATACATATTTTTTTCTACTATTTAATGATAAACAGTACGTAAGTGATTTGAATTCATGTTGTTATTTTTTACATACAGTAATTTCGCTCAATTATATTAAATTAATTTTATCCTTTATTTATTAAAAAAATATATATACGAAATTGGAAGGTATACACTGAGATGTAAATTATATGTTTTTGTTTAATGAATACTTTTTCGAGTTAACAATAATTATTAATTCCAGCATGTTAATATCTCTTCAATCTGTTAAAGTAATGTAAATATTTTTTCTTGCTTTCGCGCATGGCTTTGATCTATCGCACCCTTTGAGGCGCGTTGCAAGAGAAAATTTTCTAAAAAGTTAGCCAATGTATAAATGAGAAAAAAACGATTGTGACAAGCTGATTGTGCATTGTGGCACAATAAAAGACGGAAACGAGTCACTGCTTTAAAATTTTGAGAAATTTGTAAAAAATCTCCTAAAATATTTTATTTATTTCTAAAGCCACCCATAAATTCAGAGCAAAATAAGATTTGGAAATTTATTTGCAAGTAAAAGTTTTTAAATGTGGACATTTTATTGAATTCGAATTTGATTATGTTGCTGCCAGTCTGGATGCTATAAAAAAAACAAAACTCTATGATAGAGTTAAAATGTCCATATGGACCTGAAGTGCTGACTGTAGCAGAAGAAATGTGCAGTAGAGAAATAACTTTTTGGAAAAAGAACAATTCCATTAAGGAGAACCACTATTGGTATTTTCAAATTCAGGGCTAGCTGCACATAACACATATTGGTTTTTGCATTTTGTGCTTTTGGACTTCTGGAGGAATAAAAGTGGAGAAAATATCTCATATTGACAGCTTTTGAGAAGAAAAGGTACAAAATAAAATTAAAAATTTTTATATGCAATATGTCTTGCGGACCTTGTTGACAGCGAAGCAATAGAGACATGGAAGTACGGGACAGAATATTAAATAATTCGTGAGAAATTTTGTTTAATGTTTATTAACATAACGCAAGGAATCTTAAATTATTTTGAATATTTTTATTAATTTAAGAATTACATTTTATCTATTTCTAAAACATGGTAGTAGGCGATCCATTTAAGATATGATTAATGTCTTATTATTATAATACACTATTTTAAATTTGGGATTTTAGCAGTGGCAGTGGTAATTGATGATATATAATTATTATTATTATTATACCAAATGTTTTAAAAGGCTACACCAACTAGTGGACCACGCTTTTAAGTCCTCAAATAATAGTTTCAAGATTTTGATTCGTATTAGAAGTTTTACTATACAGGGTTTTGTGTCAAAGCCAAGTCATGTAGGTATTGTTATTGTAATACGTAGATGAGTAACTATCATCAATAGAAATTTAAAATTCAAAAATAAATCTTTGTAACGACGTTATTTATAACTTTATTAACTTCATAACGGTCAAAAATGTTAGTTAACTTATTTAATTTTAAATATAAATTGATTTTCATTTTTACTTAGAGATTTTCGAAAAGTTCACTATATTGTTTAGTTGTAGCAACTTTATTGCGCTTAAGTAGCGTTCAGATTAAAATATGAATTTATGGAGCTTAACTGAAAAACAGAAACTAATGCTTTCATTCCAAAAAAAGTATTATGGCTAATAAAAAGAATTTCGAATTGTGATATCTGCAAGTCCTTATTTAAAACCTTTAAATTTAATATTATCATTATACAAGAGTTATCTTTACAAATTGATACAAATATCAAACATAAGTTAGTTGACATAAACATTATTTCCATAATACAAATAAATATATCTCTGTTAAAGAATACTCATAATTTATTTAATATATTCATTTAAACATGTTTCTGTTTTTTGTCTGGATGATATTGAATACTAACTTTTTCTATATAACTTCTTATCGAGACATTGTGAGATAAAAAAACAGACAATTAATTAAAAGTGTACTCACAAAGTTTTCAGGTATAGAAGTTTCAATGCTATACTGTTTCCCAAATTATGAAAATACTAAAGAATATTTAAAAAAAAATAAAAAGTCAATTAAACAATGTACAGAAGAACATCGTATTTCTTTTTTGGAAACAAAAAGTAGTCGAAAATTGTGAAAATAACAACATATTTTTGTTTTTTATGTAAATCTTATCATTTTCAAGGCAATAAAACAGAAGAAAAGTCACCGAATACCGATTTCAAAAAGGTCTATAAGTTTTTATAGGAAATGGAAAGAGAAAGAACGCTTTTTAAACGAGTTAAAATTTTTTACTAATTTCGATAACTATAAACGGATTAAGGTATTTTGTACCGTGTTAAAAAATTTAAGAAAAACTTTGAAGAATATTTCTTTTTTTTTAATGAGTAAACTTTGACAAACATATACAATATTCTAAAAGATAAATCACATTTATGTGATTATACAAAAATTTTATTCATTTTTCTAAAATAATATGGATTGTCCTCTAAAATATATATAGTGGCTCGCAAAAAGTCTGCTTTTTATGTTACTTTTTTTCAGAAAATGTTATTCTTGATAAAACTTGGTGTTTAATTAAACCTAAAACTTTATTTATTCAAAAAATGATGTACTATAAATATAAATTTGGCTGCACAGTGAACTAGGTACTCTTCTAGGAACCGAACCCACATTTTTACATATAAGATTAATTTATAACTCCACATAGTAGTTTTTTAGTTAATACAAATAATATAGATTATTATATCCTTTTTAACCTACTTCAAAAAGGAGGAGGTTCTCAATTCATCTGTATATATTTTTTTTATGTATGTTCAGCGATAATTCTTTAACATAATGTCCGATTTAAATGATTCTTTTTTGCTGGAAAGGGGGTACTTCCGGGGTGGTCCCATATAAATTTGGTTCAGATGTGGTGATGACATCTGCACGATTTTAAAGTCGGTTTTTTAAAATTACTTTTAATACTTCTTACGTAAATTAAAAGTTTAATAATTTGGTGCTTTCTTGATGCGTCGTTTTATGATTTCACTTTGCATATGTTTAGGTACAAATAATTATATTATTACTGGCAGTTTATTTTAAATCATTAAAATAATATTTTGTTGATCCAAAAAAGGCAAACAAAAAAGCCATGTCACATTCAGTGTAATAATAAAAATTAGATATATAAATATAGTATAATTATGTACCAACTTTCAATCTCGCCTTTTGTCGTAAAAGACTTTTAAATATTTACCAGTGACGTCCGTACCGGGTTTGAACTGAATATTTTTGAACAAAAATATGGTGCGCCACTGCTTTTTCTAAAAACCAAAATTATCTTTAAAATCCTTATTTATTTTGGAGCAAATTTGGTTTATGACGTACTTTCGTACGAAGCACTCTTTTCGGGTAAGAAAAGTATATTGAAACTGCTTTAGATATTTTGTTGAAATTTGGTAGGAACCCACCATGAGTGGAAACACTTTTTTTGGGCAAAATTTCATAAAAATATCTAGAGTGATAAGAAACTTATGATAAAATAGTTATTTTTTTTTTCTTAAAACTTTA